AAGCTTTAGGTACATATCCCTGTAACAGAGATAGATTAATCACATCTAAAATGGAGGAGGAGATCAAAGGGAATACCTCCTTAAATAACCTGGTTGGAACTGGATCTAACATACAAGTTGAAGGCTTAGATGAAGACAATAATTTTGCTAATTCAGAAAGTTCAACTGGATCAAAGCAGTCTAAACCCGGTTCAGATTCCATGACTACCTCAGGTACAATCACGGATAGAGGAGTGCTTATGATCTTATTTTTAATAAGATCAATCTTATTTATAAAGAATCCCATAAAATCATTGCTGCTAAGAGCAGGTGGAATGGACGGTTCAACAGAGCTATGGCTCTGGGTGAGTTTTCGCACTTAATGCAGACACCTCTCCAAAATTGTAGGTGATTGCAGACAGTGCCGCAGACAGGAGGCCTCTGATTGGTCAAATCTACATCCGCTCTACACTATGTGTATTTCCTGTTTGGTACCTTACCGGCTTGTTTTGTTTGTATGATCGCCAATGTGGAAAACGACTCGTGAAGATGGACCAGCTAGAAGAGCGACGTACATGAGAACGCTGGGACCACCTGGATCCCCGCTCTTTTTCGCCCTTATGTCCCTCCGTTGTCGAGCAAACTTGCCCCCAATTCCTCACCACCTCGGCCGTATCTAGACCCACAGCTAGTTCCTGATTGTACCTCTTGCGTTATAGTGTGGAATAGCAACATTTATGTCTCAATATTGGGCATAAATCAAATATTTGACATAGTTGCGACATACTCTTTGTGACACACAGCTGCAGGAGTATAACCAGCCCTTTACACTACCCGTTTGAATCCGTTTCAACATCCATCCGAGCAAGGTGACCAAGATAACCTCATTGAGTTAATCAGTAGGGCTTGGCATGGTTCAGTTTTGACTCAGATCTCAGATAACAAAGAGCACATGAGCAGACCGTGTCATCTCCTTACAGTCAGCCTCCGTAATCATGAAATTTCCAGTGATGATTCTGCTTAGCAGTGTGATCAACCCCGTCTGTCATTGTTTCCTGCGTCTGTAAGCCCTGATTAGATTATTGTTTGTCGTATCCACTTCCCTAAAGCCGACTCTGTCAAATAAATTCACCAAAGACTGCCTTCTTTGCCTGACTCTCCGCAAACTTCCTGAATGTTACGGTTCCGCCATGGTGGTTTGCTTGTTTCCCTCTAGAGAGCAGTAGTACCGTAGATCGTCCCTAGGAGGCGAGGAACCGTGCTAGCATGATGTTTAATCGGTCCTAAGGAACCAAGCTCGGCACGGTCAACTGATGCGAGCTCGGTACGGATCAGGTTTCAGAGGATAGTGTAAATGGGGCTATAGTCTAATAAACTAAATACATGAACCTCAAAACATCAAACGTTTATTTTTAATACATGTACATGAGTTAAAAACATACCACTTTTGACCCTTATTTTTAATTTAACTTTGGTGATGTATTTCTTCTGAAGTATACATTGTATGACAGCCTTTTATGTGTTTTGAAGTAGTACCTTAGAAATTGATGTCACCTTCAGAATAAACAAAGGTTAAACATGGTGAAACGGCCTGAAAAGTTGATTTCCAAGCTTAATTTCATGTTTTTTGTCTTCTAAGCTAATTTACTTGAAACAAATTTGCTAAAAAAGTCATTTACTGCGTAGTTTCTTGAATAAATATGGACCACCTAAAAGAGAAACAGCTGTAAAATAGACGTCCATTCTGTGGAGGGAAACTTAATATTCAAGCCCAAAGGAAAAATTGTAACTTAGAAAACTCCAAATGAATCTGAATAGTCTATTTAGAGGACACCGTTAGTAGTTTAACTCCTCCATGCTAAGTAAGAAGCAGCTGCTACAGTGTTGACAGCAGACTAAAAACCTATCTAAATCCCTTCATGGTAACTTCCTTTCATAAGAACCAGACAAATGTGCAGCAACCCGCCTGCTACACTTTGGTTCGCATTGGTAAACATTTACTGTCCAAAAGGGAAGCGGCCAACTCTGTGGTTCTTGGCCCTTTTGTTTCCTTAAATCAGAACCAGACCTAAAAAACCTGCAAAAATGTATCGTTTGGATGAAAAAGGTTTTGCTATGACCTTTAAGCAATCATACACTGCAAAAAATATAAATCTTAATAAGTCATTTTTTCTAAAAATAAGTGCATTTTTTCTTGAATTGAGGAGGAAAGGGAGACACGTTGGTTGCTTTGTCTAATTTCAAGTGCATATTATCTAATTATTTTATTTTAAGAGTAGAAATACTCATTTTATTGGAAAATCATCTTATTAACCGGCTTAAATTAAGGCTAGATACATTCATTTAATACATTTTTACTAATTTCTAGATGGTTTTTGCAGTGTAGTTTCCAAAGGCCTATAAATGGGTGCTTGTAATGTTATCCCTTTGTGATATGATATGACTGTATAGTTTTGGTTTATCTGTGAAGATTCTCAGTCCTCTAGGTCAGAGGTCTTCAACAGGGGGTCCGCGGACCCCTAGGGGTCGCGTACCCCTAGGGGTCCTCATGCAGTACCCCCGGTACTGCATGAGGGTCGCGAAAGTCTTGGTTGATTACTTTTTTTATATTCCCTCCTGCAATTTTTTCCACTAATGAAATGTCTTGAAATCCACATTAACATGAATTGAACACACTGTAGTAAACAGATAAATGGAAGCAGAAGATGTCTTTCAGTCATCAATGCTCACATTCAGTGACACACAGGAGCTCTTTCAAGCTGGGCACCGTTTCATTCACAACACCTGTCCCATCAACCAGGAATCAGAATCAGAAATACTTTAATAGTCCCAGGGAGGGATTACTTTCGTAACATGACTCCATCTGTAATAGAGTGACCATAGGACCAGTTTGATAAAACGCAATTTTATACAATATACAAAATTAGGGGGTCCCCGCTCCATCTTGCAATCAGTTTGGGGGTCCTTGGCTTCGAAAAGTTGAAGACCCCTGCTCTAGGTCATGGTCAAGCTTGGAAAGTTCATTCTAGGCAACTGGATATAAAGTTTTCTAGAAGACGTTTCGTCTCTCAATTCTAACTATTGTTGGGGATCACTGAGATTAAACTCTAAACTTCACATCCGGCTCCCTAAACTGAATCTATCAAGCCTGTAGTTTTGGTTGTATTATTCCTGAATTTCTGATTTAAAATGATTTGGGCTCACGCATAAAACTGCCAGCAGGAGGTTATTTTGCTTTGATGATGGATCATAACCAGTGGAAAACCTGTCAGAACCTGGATTACACTGCAATGAAACCAGAATCAATTTAGATCGATGTAATGTAGTGTTTCTGTCCATCCGTGCATCCTTCAAGGAAGGCTAGATAGCAAATCCTCATTTTATCAAAGCCTAGTACACATATATTTGTCAGAGAAGTAAATGTTTGAATTAAACGTTGCAAGAAAAAATACCAGCTTTAGCTCAGGCTACCAGCTAGTGTTATCTGTGCTACATACAGACAGATTTAGGTGTTTTTGTAATTCAATAAAACATCGCAGAGTTGTTTACTTTGCTCATGATCTGGTCGATTTATGCCATGATGGTACATCAGGCAAGCTCAGGAGTCAAAATATTGATGCACTAATTTCACAGATGTTGTATAAAATAAGCATTTAGCTATTTAGATAATTTAGCTGCTAATTTAGATGTTATATTTAAACAAAGATTGGTCTGCTCAGTAGCGAAGTGGGTAGCACTGGTTCCTTGCAGCTAGACCCCGGGCCGGGTTCAAATCCTGGCCCGGGGTCTGCCTGCATGTAGTTTGCACTGCAAAAACGATCTAGAAATAAGTAAAGATTTCTTAAATTAAGTGTATTTACCCTTAATTTGAGTAGGTAAGTAAGAGGATTTGCCAATGGAATGGGTATTTTTACTCTTAAAATAAGACAATTAGATAAAAGTCACTTGAAATAAGTTAATGCAATTGTTTTTTTCTTATTTTAAATGTAAATTATCTTGTTCCATTGGCAAAGTGTCTCACTTACCTCCTCAATTCAAGAAAAAAAATGCACTTATTTTAAGAAAGAATTACTTATTAAGATTTAAATTTTTTGCAATGTACATGTTCTCTTTGAGCATGCATGGGTTCTCTCCGGGTACTCCAGCTTAATCCCACAGTCCAAAAACATGACTGTCAGGTTAATTGGCTTCTCTAAAGTCCCCTTGTGTGAAAAGTTTTGTCCTGTTTGTCTCCATGTTGCCCTGCGATGGACTAGTGATCTGTCCTGGGTGTACCCCTTCTTTGGCTCATTGACAGCTGGAGATAGGCATCAGGACCCCGTTGCCCGATCACGCTTATCCCAAAATGGATTGATGGATTTAAAACAAAGATTTAAATATAATCAAATGTGATGTGCTGTTTTAACACAAGCTGAAGATTGTCACATCACATGGACTCACACACAGGTAGAGCTTTGATAACCCAAATAAAGGACAAAATGTTGGAGATGATAATGCTTTATCTATACATTTCAGATTCACAAAGGCTTTGTTTATATATTTTTACATGCGTCACAAAAACACATTAATCTATGCTATTAAATGTCTCTTTTTATTGTTTAATAACCATAGCTATGAGTCATTTAAATGTCACAGCAGCAGAAAAGATTTTGGTCTGGTATTATGGGCACCTTGCCTTTTTCAAGTAGCTTTTATTCCACTCCTTTATGATGAAAAATGATCATTCATATTAGATGTCTGCTCCTGGTTTAAGACTGTATGTGATGAGTTGTGATTGAGAATGAAAAGGTTTCCTTGTGAGGGAACGACTGTGGTGATATAGGGAGGATTTTACGAGGTAATACATCAGGTATGCCGAGCTCACTCAGCCCATAAAGAAGGCGTGTTTGTGTGTGAAGGTCAAATGTATTTTAAAATTCCTTCGCTGTCTTCTACCCATTCAGGTCTTATGTTCTTCTGACAGGCTCTGCTGTTTTTCACTGTTCTTGCTCATCATTCGGCTCTTTTTCCCTCGTTTTCAGGACCCAGCTGGGATCTTCGAGCTGGTCGAACTGGTTGGAAATGGCACCTATGGACAGGTCTACAAGGTAGGATTGTAAAATCTAGGCTTATGTTACTTTTAATAGGTTTTTTTCATTTATATTTACTGATAGTTGATTTGTTAATCAAAAGTAAAGTATTTAGCGTCCTTATTTTGGAGCTTTCCTCATGAAAATATTTAATCTTCAAGGTTTTAAAGCTCTTTTTAAATAATGTGCAGTAAAAAAAAAATATTGTCCCTTTTAAGAGTCCTGCAGAGTTAAAGTGGGTGAATATGAAACACACTGGTTCTGTTTTTTGCTCTATTTATTATGACTTCATCTGAACAAAATTTAATTATGACAAAAAACTGAGTTTATTATTGACTTTCTCGGAGGTAGACCTGAGAGGGTGGAAAAACAAATAACCTGTGTGCTTATTTTAGTGTATTGTTTTACCTTGAAAGCAATTAACAACCTCTCACGTCTGCTGATGCACATTGAGCTTCAGTGCTGAGATTCTGTCTGCTGGATTTGCCGTATTGATTTGCCTTCTCTACAAGTTGACACCTCCTCTGCAGAAAATGATTGATGGAGAAAAATTCACACAATCTGTGTGCACTTACTAAATAAAAAAGGAAAGGAGGAATGAACACATAAACAGGAAAATGCTTTCTAAATGATTATCTAGTGTCAGTTCACAGTCAGATGCATTTGATTCGATCTTTTTTTTGTTTGACTTTTCATTCTTTGGTTGAATCCTGATTGAGTATTTGGTGAGTTTTCTTGCCTGACTGTAAATTTAATCCTCATTTTGACATAACAAACAATACTGATCAAATGTACTTTCAAATTATAAATACCTACAAGTCTAGACATTTTATAAAATAAAAGCTACATTTAAAGGTCATAGAACTAAAAATTATGTGGAGATCTCACCATTGGCCACTTACCCCCGCATGATACCTGGACACCCTAAGTTTATTGGTTTTCTAATTGTGTCTGTGGTATATCAGATTGGAAAAGGGAAAGATTTGTCTGGCAAATAAACAAAATCACGATAATAAACTAATTTCTTTGTCTTCATCACAAAAAGATATTTCAAAAAACAATATGTATATTCAGACATCATACTAATAATGTTGGTGGTGTATGTGGTGTTTGTGAGGCATAAATGGGCATCAATAAAGTGTCTACCTAAAATGACAGGACTGGCGTCTGGTTGAAAACTTGTTGGAAAAGCTGTTGTTCTTGACTTCAGATGAGTTAACAAGAGGTAGGGATTTGCTCGGGTGAAGGTCTTAGAAAGGATGAGACTCTGATAAAGGCCGAGCATTTTTGCTTGTCTACATTAGGGACTTGTCTTTACTATCAGACATTTGAGAATTGTAGTAGGATTGTAGTAGGAGAATGTAGCAATGTCAGGAAAGGGGTTTTTAGGTCCTCCGGCAGCCTATGCCTATAGCAGCATTTCAACCTGGAGAAACTCACACAGAGAAAAGAAGCAGTTAGAAAGATTTTATTGACATTAATTAAATAAGCTCTTTAGCTGTTGGACCTCGGCAGAAGACATGATGCTGTGAGTTGGCATAAGCTTAGATGAATAACTTAAGAAGAGGATTACAATAGTCGTTCCCCCGGGACCTGGACACTGGTGGTGGAGTGAGCCAGAGGATGGTAGCAGGAGGTCTAAGAATAGTCAAAGAGTGAGGGAGGATGTGGGTGATAGTTTGGCTGATGCACTAAATGAGAAGCTGGGCCTTCTTAATGAAGAGTGTCTTGATTGATGATTCGCTTTCGGGGGGCTGTAGTCCATTGTTAATTGGGTGAAGCTTGAGCGAGACACAACAGCAGGTGGTCCAGGTGAGGCTGCTAATGAGTCTTCCAGGTTAAAAACTTGGGCTTAAGCTTCATAACTACAGAGACAGTTTAAAGGTAAACTTAGCCACTCAACAATATGCTTAATCGACAAGGAAAGTTGTATACCTAGTCTTAAAGGTGGAGCTTAACAACTAAAAGATCTACCTCCTATTCTACGTTTAGGAACCCATGGAACTGCCAGTACACCTGCATCTGAGAGCAAAACGCTCTGTTAGAAAAAATAAGGACAATTAGATCTCAGATGTATGATGGAATTTGATTATTAAGGGCTTTACATGTTGTTCTTTGTTTACAGGGTCCAGTGAATGATGCTTAATTTTAAGAAATGTGATCTCTACTTTTAATACTTATTTGAACTTCTGGGATATGAAGGATTTTTCAATGATTTTTAAGGGTTACTTATAGCAAATGACTTTATATAAAAAATGAATGCACTCGTTTTTATTAGTTACTCTGAAAAAGAAGAGTAGTTTTAATAGTTTGATTACTTTCTCTCATAGTCAAAAAAATGTTGAGTCTAAGTCACAAATAAGTCAGGGAGACCAACTGCTGATTGCTCAGCTAACATTATGCATTGACATTATGGCAGAGAAGCACAAATAAAAGAAGTGGAACGCCCCGTCTACGTGGTATTTTCTGCTTAATTTTTAAACATATTGAACCACTCTGCACCAAAGCTTGTTTTTCTTCTTAAATTTTCAAAATTTTGTGGGTACAGCATTGAAAAGTAACCTAATGCCAGAATATTTCTGATTTATCCTGATTGTTCATGTCGTGTGACTGCTTATCCCAGTTAATCCTGTTTGGGTTGTTTTCTACATATTTTATGAGCAGGATAGAGACTTGTAGCTATTGCTTCATCCCACTGTGGTCACTTACGTCTCTGTAAGAGTTTCTTAAAATCTGTTCCAAGACCACAAAAACCAGGTTTTTATGACAAATCATTACTGATAATCTATAGTGGAAATCATCTTAGCCCTGATTCGCTTTAAACATTACACTCCCTAACCTAGAAATGAATGAGAATTAATTACTGTTTTCCATGGTCTTTGTAATTAGCCCAATTTGAATAATTTAATTTCCTGGAAACTCCTTGGCATGATTTTGAAATTTCCATTAATCCTTATAAAGCCAAAAAAATTAGGAAATTTGGTGTAACCTCTTCTTAAAAGTGGGAGTGAAAACAGTTTATAAATAGTCAAGTATCAAAGCTAAAACCCTAAATTTTGATTCTATTTAGAACATATTTGAAATCAGATTAGGTTATTAGTTTAAGCAGCTCAGGGGCTGCCAAAAAGCTACTCCTGAAAACCTACCAAATGTTGAGAAAAGCTGTATTTTCAGGCGTAAAACTTCCACCACAGAAGCTGCTGTGCAAGTTTCCTGCTCACTGGGACTGGCTCTGCACTCAGGTTTCAGTTTCTCTCATGTTTAAAAAGCTCAGACATGACACTCCATCAATGAGGAGGCGTCTTCTGCTTGTATTGCATCTGATTTTGCAGTGAATCTACTACATGGAGGCAGGGTTTCATTGATTGAGGAGCAGAAAGGATAGATATCTCTCTCTTTTCCTGCAGTTCAGTCATAAATGTAAAATACTGCAAGATCACTTAATACACAAGAAAATAAGAAATATACACCTGGGCTGTTAAGGGGTTCAATTCAATTGAGTTTATTTCTATAGCACCAATTCACGACACATGTCATCTCAGGGCACTTTACAGTTCAACCAGATCATCCAGTCAAATTGATACAAAGTTTTCTATCTAAGGAAAACCAGTTGAATGCATTGACTCATTGACTCAAATACAATCCCTCACACTAAGCATGCTTGTGGCGACAGTGGAGAGGAAAAACTCCCTTTTAACAGGAAGAAACCTCCAGCAGAACCAGGCTCAGTGTGAGCGGCCATCTGCTGAGGCCGACTGGGGTTCAAGGAGACAGAAGCAGAGATAGAAAAAGCAACTGTAAAAGGCGGCCCCGTCCAGGAAACACACAGCCAGGCAGACGAGCTCCGAGCCAGCTCCCATGTCAGAGGATGAAGAGAGCACATCCAGTTAGTCACAGTCAGAGAAACAGGACTACACTGAAAAAACATCTAGAAACAAGGGTGTTGATGGCAGCAGCACAGCTGATATTTCTTTCCAGGATGGAGTCACAGCCAAACAGGAACAGACGAGTCAAAGCTACTATGAGAAAAAGCAGAGAGAGCAGAAAGTTAGAGATTGAACTAACAGATTCTGCAGAATAGGAGAACAGAGAGAGAATGAAGCAGAATGATGAAATAGGGGTCCCTATGTCCTCCAGCAGTCTAAGCCTATAGCAGCGTAACTATAGAGATAGCTCAGGATAACCTGAGTCACTCTAACTATAAGCTTTATCAAAAAGGAAAGTTTTAAGCCTAGCCTTAAAAGTAGACAGGGTGTCTGCCTCACGGACTAAAACTGGTAGTTGGTTCCACAGGAGAGGAGCCTGATAACTAAAAGATCTGCCTCCCATTCTACTTTTAGAAATTCTAGGAACCACTAGTAAACCTGCAGATTGAGAGTGAAGTGCTCTGTTAGGAACATAAGGAACAATCAGATCTCTGATATAAGATGGAGCTTGGCCATTTAAGGCTTTATATGTGAGAAGGAGGATTTTAAATTCTATTCTGGATTTAACAGGAAGCCAATGAAGAGAAGCCAGGATAGGAGAGATATGATCTCTCTTTTTAATTTTCATCAGAACTCTGGCTGCAGCATTTTGGATCAGCTGAAGGCTTTTAACTACAGTTTGTGGACTTCCTGATAGTAAAGAATTACAATAGTCCAGCCTTGAAGTAACAAATGCATGGACTAGTTTCTCAGCATCACCCCTGGACAAATATAGAGTGACTGGAGATTAAATTCAGATGATCTTATTAACTGCTAGGTTTTCTACCAGGTCAACCTGATACTCTTTAGTGCAGAACTTTTCATTTTAAGAGGGCTACTTTTGATTAGCTACTTGTGCTAGTCAGGCACTGTATATATAAAAACACACAAAAAATTACATTGAAAAACAAATCAAACTACAGATGCCAGGTTTTTGTGCTGATAGTATTTACCCAATAGACAGTATTTTTGCCTTTGGTGCGATGAGCAGACCATTGCACCTCATCCATTGGCAGTAATTAGTCACCCATCCAGTCAACTTGGAAGTGAAAT